CATACAACATTGTGTTGTTGGTAGAAAACTAGAAGTGCCGAAAACTAACGAACGCTCGCCGATTGTCATCGCTTCCCTTGCCGCTCTAACAGTTTGCGAAAACTATCGTAATATGTGTATTTATGAGCATGCATACATATTGACGAAGATTTTGCGAGCCACGGAAAATATTTTAGAATGAATATTTTAAATCGAAGCTTTGTGCCACTTTTGTCATTGATTTCTGTGTTTGCAGGGTGTCACTTTTCTCTTCTAGAGGAATATCAGAAATTTTCAATTATGATTTTAGCTTTCATCGTCGCGAAACGACGCTTGTAGGCAAACGCATGCTCGGGGAGATGTAAGGCGTTTGCTTTTATGAATGAAACGACTTAGCTTATGCTTGTGCGCCAGCGTCATCGAATGAAAATGTTGTTGGTGCCAATGATTTCTGGTGCTGATGTATGAGACAATTGTGTTTTTGTACAACAATGTTTGTATTTTCTTATTGGCTGACGTACTTACATTTGTCGCTTAAGATTTGTGTATGCATTATTATTTTGGGCGGTCATATGCATATTTGTACATACATATTAGTATAGAGCAGTGGCTCATAGTATTTATTGATAATTGATAATATATTATTATATTATATAATATAACATATTGATGTACATACATAAATTATTAATTTGTAAAATTGAAATTAGAAAATTATGAAAATAGTAAAATATCATTTTTGCATAATCTTTCACATTTTATCAATGTAGCATTTGTGCAAAAATAATAATTTATCAAATTTTCATCATAAAATCGTTTATATGGCAAACAATAATCATGCATATGAAGTGGCATTTGTATTTTGTTTTCATTCAATTTCATTTCATTTTTCTCTTTATATTGGTAGATACGTATTTTGTCAGAGAACGTTGTTAAAAATTCTCATTTCTGTTTAATAACAGCAAAACTATACAGAAAGTGGTGAACTCCTTGATCTCAATTTTTCAGCAAACCAATCGAGCATCATACAAAATTCAATTTGCACCTTCTCATTGTTTTAAGTTCTCTGGTTAAGCTATCATTGCTCACCGCTCGTACTAAGGTTGCGCCGTTGAAAGGCGCCACAATCCCTCGACTCGAGCTATGTGGAGCTCTCCTATTAGCCAAGACGATTGGTAATATTAGCAGAGCGCTTATTTTGGAGGATGCCTCTGTGCACTTACCGACGGACTCTAATATTATCTTGTGCTGGCTACGCAAGCAGCCAATGTTGTTAAAACCATATGTTGCCAACAGGGTTCGGCAAATACAAAAATTTACATCTATAGATTGTTGGCATTATGTACGTTGGGAACAGAATCCAGCAGATTGCGCCAGCCGTGGTGTGACTGCATCATAATTGCTGAGGTCCAGGTTGGCTACGTCAGAAGGCAACCATGTTTGATCAGGTACCGAAGTTACAAGCAGAGGACCAGAGTTTTAACCTCCGCATCTTCAATTAGGTTCCAGCTCACCACTTGATGTATCGATGGACAACATATTCCATTAACACAGCGGTTTAGTTCCATCAAACGACTGATCAGAACTACAGCTATAATCCTTTGTTGGTTACCAAAGCATCGCCGTCTTCGCCAACATCTTGTGACAGCTCCAAAGATGGATGCCGCGCTCATATTGATCATTCGTATTGATCAAGCGTCCGCGTTTCCACAAGACTTAGATTGCTTACGCGAAGGCACAAATTTATCAACCTCTAGCCCACTACTACCATTTAACCCCTATTTCAATAATCAAACTAAAATACATTTTTAATAAAGTTAATTCCATTTAATAATGCACATCGACCATTAATCAACATTAGCACGAACAGTTTCTACTGGTATTGACAACGCTGCTCAGAACAAACATTTTTTGAAACTCTCCAAATTTCTGTGGGCTGTTCGACAGGCCTTGTTCTGCAATTCTGACCACAAATTGTAGTCTAATGGACTAAAGTTTGAAGCTATAAACCACGCCATTTAAAACATACTGCTAGCACACCTTTGCCCCAGTTGTAATCCCTTTTCCACAAAAGTGAAAAGGTGGGATGCCTTTATCGGGGACTCCCCACCAAATCACTACAGCAGCTGGATGGTGTCCACGTTAAACTCTGGGATTAAATTTTTTTGCGCCTTTTTTTTGCATAGATTTTCTCATTTGGTTTATTAAAAACTTCTTAAACTGTGAACATTTTTTCATCTGTAAAACGGATACTTTTATGGCCATTTACCGCGTTCTACATTTGTTGAGCTTAATTTGCTTCAAGCGCGCTGTAAGAAGATGACCAATTGACCGACGGTAGGCTTCATCTGGAGATCAATAGAATAAGTCTTGACATTGATTGTTCGATATATCCATTTCCCTTCACATAATTATCTGTTTTCGGGAAGAATTTCTGCGAACGCGTTCACTAACTGTTTTTATGGCAGAATTGGTTCGAACTGTGCGAGGACGACCACTTCTCCTTTTGTCATCAATTGTAAAGAAAACATTCTCGAAATTTAAGTATCTTAAGAACTCATACATTTCATAACAAATATTACAGCCACAATTTGTCCTCGCTGTATACATTGTAAACTTTGTAACAGAATTTATGGAAAGTCTAAGTAAATTTGAAAAGTTTACTTAATTTGAAAAGAAAAATTTCATTAAGTAAAAGTTGATTAAAATAATGTACTAGTCATAAACTCACCATTATGTTACCTATCACTATGCTTAATTTGATTATGTAATGTCTGTGGTTGTTTTTTTTACAATAATTTAAATAAATAACGAATATATTTCATGGGCAAAAGTTATGGCACAGTTAGAATTTATATTTAGACATGGAAAAGAAAATACAAATTTAATGACGAGTATTCAAACCTTACATTTTAATAACGTCATTTTAATGATTTGCCATGGAGTGCACCAATTTGCTTTTCATCACAGATTCAATATTGGCACATTCATGCTGCAGTCCCTCTTTTAATTTGCTTTTACTTGTAACGTTATGCTTTTCGGCCCTTCGGTCCAGTTTATTCCAGAAGTGCTCAATCGAATTTAAGGCCCCTGATTTAGTTTCAAGAGCGTGGGAATGATGAATGATCCACATACAAACATCATAAGGTATGCTTGGGATCCCTATCTTGCTGAAAATAGAACTGATTCCCTGAATTCAGCTTTTCTATGCTTTCTTGCAAATTTTATTTCAAAATGTTCATATATAAAGTTTTATACTAAGTTCCCAATGCCTGACATCTCCAAACCATGATTGCACCACCTCCATACTTTACGGTATTACTAACATTGTTTTTGTCAAATTCAGTGTTTGCCTTTCTCCATACTTGTATTCGACCGTCACTTTAGAATATGTTAAATTTTCTTTCGTCTGTGTACTTTATCCTAGATCTCTATAGCTTTATTTTAATACTCTTTAGCAAATTCTAAACGCTTTTTTTGTTGGCCTGGCTGATAAGAGGTTTTTTTCGAGCTGTTCTGGATTTGTACCCGTTGCGAATAAGCACACGTCGTACTGTTTTCGGATGCGTATGTTTATTTAATTCTTCCTTAAGGTCCGCAGAAATCTTTGTTGAAGTCAGTTTTGGATAATTTTTTTCTTGTATTTTACGTAACACATACGACTCCTCTCTGGAACTAAACGTACTCGGACGACCTGAACTTTCGCAGCTTGGAGACAACGCACATCTTTAAAACGTTTGATTATACTTCGAATGGTAAAACGATTTAATTTCGTTATTTCACCGATTTCAGTACAGCTTTTGTTGGCGGAATGTAGACGTAAAATATTTTTTCGCTTCTCTGCTGTCGTGTCCGCTTCGACTCATTTTACAGAATTGTAGTAATTACTTGTAATGCACGCTACACAAGACTATATTTTTTTTAAAAGGTTTCTAATGTGGTGCAGCATCATGCAGTCACTTGTTATTGTCAAATTTTTTTATATTTTTTTTAGCAGAATCAATGGAATTATTTCGGAGAATTCGAACCGTGCCAAAACTTTTGCCCACCGAAATATATAAATTTTTCTGTCAATTAATTTTTTGTTTACAAGCCATTTGAAGTTGACGTGGCAGAGCATTTTTTTAATATGGAAAAAATTGAGTATCGCGCAGTGATTAGATTCTTTCTTTTGATAGGTTTGAAAGCAAATTAAATTCATGAACAATTGTAAGAAGTGTATAAAGAGACCTCACCTTTAAAACGCACCGTTTAATTTTGAGCTGGCTTGAGGACGATCCACGCGAAGGACGACCAAAAACCGCAACCACACCAGAAATCATTGAGCAAGTTCATAATATTGTTAGTGAAGGTCCAAGTTTGACTATGCGTAAAATTGCTAATGCCATAGGCACGTCAGACGAACGGGTACTTCATATTTTACATGGAGAATTTCATATGAAAAATCTGTTTGGAAAGTTAGTGCCGCACACGTTAACAATTCAACAAAAATTGGATCGTAAACAAATTTCTCAGCATAATTTGGAGCGTTTTAAGCAGAATAAAAGCGATTTCTTGCATCGTTCTATAACTATGAATGAGATTTGGATTTTCCAATATGATCTTAAATTGAAACAATAACGTTTACAGTGGGCTGAATCTGGTTGTTCAGTTCCAAAGCAGGTGAAGTCACAACGATTGTCAAAGAAGATTATAGCATTAGTTTTTGAGGATGCAAAAGGAATTTTGTTGATTGATTATCTGCAGAAAGGTAAAACATTCTATGCTGAATATTATTGCAGCCTTTTGAATTAGCTGGATGAAAAAAGTCGTGAGAAAAGACCTGGTTTGCAGCACAAACAAATCATTTTTCATCAAGACAATGCACCTGCTCACAAAGGTGTTTTAACGATAACAAAATTCAACAAATTAAAGTACGGATTGTTTGAGTATCCATCGTATTCACTACATTTGGCTCCTAACGACTACTACCCCTTCAGATATCTGAAACAATTCCTTCGTGGAAAGAGTTGGAATAAGTGTATTGAAGTTAAGGGAGATAATATTGATAAAAAAATATATTTCGTACCAAAAACAGCATATTTAATTTTGAGCGCAGAAATTTTTCAACCAACCTGTAAGTAGTACATTATTTGAACATACCTTTTATATTAACAGATCGACAGAGAACTCAAGGAACCAAAACCCACTATGCCAAAACTTTTATCCGTTTTGTACAGTGTACATCTGTACATATGTTTGTAGATATTATTATATATTTATACATGTGATGTGTTGTTATGAGTCCCTGAGGGACGCATACGCCTTGTTTCATTCTCCTGCCTATGTTCCCCGCAGAGCTTCTTTACAATGAAAGAGTTTTTCAAATCCGTCTAGTAGTTTCGGAGCCTATTTAATTAAAATAAACAAACAATACAATCTTTACTCTTCAGAATATTAGTATAGATAGAACTGTAAATCTACGTCGATTGGTTTCAGGTTTTACAAACAACCGTTAGGTGAACAAATATTTATACTATGTGCGAAAATGTTGCAAGAGTATAAAAAACAAGTAAGGAACCTTTCATACTCTTGCAACTTCCCAGGAAAAAAGAGGGAGAAATACCTTCAGGTGTTGACAAATATGTATTTTACAAATATTGCGAAAAAACTCAACATTCATTGTTCTATCAAACCGTGAATGGATTACAATCAAATTTGTATCTTATTAACTTATACCTATTATAGGTCATAGACATGACTTCCCGTCAGCGAAAAATACATTAAAATCATCCTGAAAAACGACTTATCTGACATAAAATCAATTTAAATTTTATGTTTTGAGATGATCTGGAAAACGTCGACTAGAAGATCGAAATGTATTACATTAGGGACCAAGGTCTAAACTCTCGCAACATGTTGCTACAGAGTATAATAGTTTTGTTCACCTAACGGTTGTTTGTATCACCTAAAACTAATCGAGTTAGATATAGGGTTATGTATATATAAATGATCAGGATGAAGAGACGAGTTGAAATCCGGGTGACTGTCTGTCCGTCCGTCCGTCCGTCAGTGCAAGGTGTAACTTGAGTAAAAATTGAGATATCTTTATGAAACTTGGTACACATGTTTCTTGGTACAGTAAGACGGTTGGTATTGCAGATGGGCGTAATCGGACCACTGCCACGCCCACAAAACGCCATTAATCAAAAACAAATAAATTGTCATAACTAAGCTCCACAATAAGATACAAGACTGTTATTTGGTACACGAGATCACATTAGTAAGGGGCATCTGCAGTTAAAAATTTTTTTTTAAGTGGGCCCGCCCCTAATAGGTTTAATGTGCACATCTCCTAAACTACTAAAGCTTAATAACAAAATTCACTGGAAGCAAATGTTTTTAGCACCTCTACCTACGGTGTGAAAATGGGGGAAATCGGGTGACAACCCCGCCCACCAAATATAATGGTACTGTTAAAAACTACTAAAAGCGCGAATCAAGCATTAAACGCGCCAGAGACATTAAATTTTATCTCAGGGATGGTAAGAGATGACTTTATAGGAACCGCGTTCAAAATTAAACAGTGGGCGTAACACCGCCCACTTTTAGGTGAAAACCCATATCTTGGGATCTTTTTAACCGATTTCAACCAAATTTGGTACATAACGTTCTTTTTATATTTCTATGTTATGGTGCGAAAATGGGCATCGGATTACAACCACGCCTATTTTCCATATGACACCATTTTAAATTCCACTTGATTATTTCACTTTCCACTATGCAAATCAAGCAACAATGATTATATCGGCGTAAAACTTTGCGTGAATAATACGTTTAAAATACGCCACCTTGTGACCAAAAATTCTCTAAATCGAACTAAAACAGTTCAAGCCCCTAGGTACCGAATATGTGGACCCCAGTACCTATAGTTGACTTTTTACCGTAAATATCGGCCATTTTGTAAGATACATAATTGAAATTCATATAATAGAATAAATAAATGAAACTATCGATAATAGTATGTCTTTGTTTCAAAAAAGATCAAGTCGGGTGAAAATTTTCCTTAGCCCCCATGTAACTAATATCAAGATTTTCGAACATTCGTCTGACTTTACTCCATTTGATTGGTGATGGTATGTGAGGTACCTAAAAGAAACAGTGGGTAGTCTGTGGCATGTTAGTAGTATGTGGTATTGGAAAAAATTAATAAAATCGGGTTAATACTACCCTCAAATTCCATATACTACTTATAATGCTTTTCGTTATTCTAACCAGTTTTATGCCGAATATGTCGGTCAGTGAGTATTAATATTTTTTTTTTATATATAAAATTGCTTTAAAATATGTTCTCGAGTATAGCTGAGCAATGTCAAAATTAATATATTTCTCTATCTCCAATATATATATGATTTCCGTCTTTCCACCTGACTTTACACCGTTCCGGTTGATCAACGTGATATTTTAACGAAATTAAGTGGAAACGATTTCTTAAAAATTATGTGGTTTGACGCTGAATTAGAATGAAATTAGTATATACTAAGTCTAAACCGCACACCTTCATATAATGAATTCCGATTCTCTGGTTGACGTTTGCCACCTAAGCTTATAATATAAAATTTAGCCACTTTGGTGGAGTTAATATCACATTCATACTTATGTATATCTCACTTCAAGCAATAAAACTGAGACTAAGTTTATGGCCTTTAATATAAGTCAAGAAGATACCAAATTTGATTGTAATTTAATAATGGATGTTTAATTCAACATTTTTTAATATACGGTTTGGAGGAATTTTCTGGTCTTTGATTTTCCCAGCTCACATGTACTACTTATGGTATAATATTTTTCGTCAATTTGATAATTTAATGAAATTAAATGGACAGTTTTTCTTAAAAATAATGTATATCGCTGCATATAAATGAAATTGGTCTAGACTTTGTTTAAACCTTATAACCCTAATATACTGATTTCCTCTCCTCTGGTACAACAGCAACCTCATATACACCACATATTAAATCTAACCCCTTTGGTTCAGTTTATATCACATATACCATGTTTGAGTTGAATAGCTTCTTTTTATAAAAGTTAACATTTCGGAGAAAAAAATAGTATTGACACAAAATAAATCTATGATCAATAACATAAGTTAATAAGATACCAAATAATAATCGAGTAATGAATGTTGAATTCTTTCGCAACATTTTTATACTTTCGCAACATGTTGCAACAAAGTATAGTTTTGTTCACCAAAGAGTTGTTTGCATCACCTAAAGTGATAGATATAGATTTCTATATACATATATTTCTTCTAATATTTGGTGATAATCAGTGGTTAGGTATATTTTCTCAGCCATCATGTTGAACTTATTATAAAATATACCAGACAACAATGCCAAAAAAGTTTCTTAGAGTGCTGGACTTTGTATAGAGCAAAAAAATCTTTCTAGAAAAAATTGCGTGAAATAAATATTAGTAATGTAGTATCAAAAGGGCTAAAGACCCTTTTTATGTGGTTATAGATAAACTGCGACCCCATCGGTTTACATGCTACTGTCTATTATTTCAGTTTTGCGACACATTTTAATATGAAGGTCATGAGGTGAACTGTAAACTCAAGAAAATTACATTTTTACCTAGCGCCGTTGGCAGCTTATGAAAGGTTTAGGTATTAAGACAGAAAGAAGAAAATTTTCATACCTGCTCTACATATGTGTGTACTATACTTAATTATATGTAAGTTATTGTTAATTAAGCCTTCATGGGAAGACCCTTCAAAATAGGTACCATATATCCCCCTGTTTTAGAAAGCGTTTAACAAAAGTAATTTACGGAGGGGTTTTCTGAGAACTTAATTTCAATACAATGAAATAAACTACTCATTTCTAAAATATAAATATAACTAAATATTATGTATTATTATGTTAGTGAATAGGTAAGTAATATATAGGTATATAAAAGTATGTAAGCTGTACCAACATGTCGCAAGAGTATAATAAATATCAGTACACTGTGTTTGTAGTTTCAGTTTCACTAGATGTCTTTACCAGCAAAGTGCTTTATTCAAACTAATTTTAGTGTATTAGTTATATAGTGTTTAAAGTATTATTATATACAGTGACGAGCAAAACCGTATTATATACAGTGGCGAGCAAACACATATACATATGTGCGCCAGTATACCATAGTACCTATACACGGAACAGGAAAGGAGTCATAGCAAGGACTTACAAGGAATTACAGTGAAAGAGTGCAGCACCTAGGATCCAACTTTTAACACCCGGACGGACTGAATTATATAAGTATTATCTATAAGTATTTTATATATTAATCCATTTATTATTAATTAATTATGCCTAGATTAAGTAGAAAATCTATATTCTAAGTCTCTTCAGAATAGAAGAGTATGAGATGCTTCGTGCAAACTCTTTATATAGAGATAGTGAGCAGTCACAAAATACTGTAAGTCACGCTAATCGTAGATTAGATTCCGATGTACGTCTGTCCGAACAAATTATCAATGCAAATCAACATAGAACCAGGCGGGAAAATCTCGAGGTACGGTCTTTTGAACAAAATTTAAATACTGTTCAACATAGAACAAGGCGGGAAGATCCGCAAATTCGCTCTGAAGAGCAAATAAGAGATACTCGAGGTCATAGGTCTCGGCGTGAAGACCCCGAGGTTCGATCTGTTGAGCAAGTTGCAAATACTGTTCAACATAGAACAAGGCGGC